CCAGCCTGGGTAACAAGAGCGAAACTCCGTCCAAAAAAAAAAAAAAGATGCAGTTTCACTCTTGTTGCCCAGGCTGGAGCGCGGTAGCGCAATCTCAGCTCACCACAACCTCCGCCTCCTGGGTTCAAGCAGTTCTCATGCCTCAGCCTCCTGAGTAGCTGAGATTGCAGGCATGCACCACCACACCCAGCTAATTTTTTATTTTTAGTAGAGACGGGGTTTCTCCATGTTGGTCAGGCTGGTCTCGAGCTCCCGACCTCAGGTGATCCACCCGCTTTGGCCTCCCAGGCATGAACCACCACTCCTATCCCTGTCTTTCTTTATCTGCTAGAGTTAGCAAGATTAAGCCCCTAAGCTGAAGGAAGGTACATCTTTGCTTCCTGCTGACTTTCATGAGCTATTGAATCACTTTGTATCAGCCAGGCAGGAGACAGATGGACATGCTGAAATGAGTCATAGAGAAGATTTTCATGGAGGGGATATATACAAAGATGTTGGCAATGTTAAGAGAAAGCTACAAGGAATGAGAAAGCACTCTCAATGCAGCAGCAGACCTGAAGGAGCAAGGGGAGGAGTGATTACCAGGCCCCAGAGAAAGCAGCTCCAGTTGTATGAGGGGCAGTCTGACTGGAATATGACTTTCGGGGGGGAGGGATGAATCCAGTGCCAACCTAGGGCAACCCAGAAAAGAAAGAATTGGAGAATAAATATTCCTATGTCAATTTTCTCTCTGTGGTGCTTTCCCACCAGTGTTTCTCATTGGCCAAACCAATTGGGAGCTTAAAGGTAGGAGAGCCCATTGATGCAATGTGTAGAAGTCACCCTTCTGGGACACACAGAATGATGGAGAAGCATGGTGAGTGGCTCTGAAGGAGTAAACACAGTATCCCACACACATGGCAACTCTAAATTTTTAAACGATGACTTAAGAGTTTTTTTCATAGCTCAAATGGTCATCCACCATCACTTAGACTCCCATACTTCTCTTCCTCCTAGAGTCACCAGCTATCCACTGACACCAATTTTTCCTCCTAACATAGAACACACCTGCTGCATGTAACTCTGGGAGCTCATTACCCCCAGTGACATATTTACCCTAGGTTTTCTTGTCAACCCAGGTATGCCTGTGTGTGTGTGTGTGTGGGTGCTCCCCTTCTCCCTCAATTTGTAATGTAAAAATCTCCATGTCATTACAATATTCTGTTAACAAAAAGTGACTGGGCAAACAATAAAATAAAAAAATGTAATCTTTATTAGTTTTGCACATTTTAAATGTTGGTTAGCATTATTTAGTGTAATAGTAGCATTTTCCAGCATGCAGTTCACGAATACAGTTTATCTAAGTAGTTTTAAGAAAAAGAGGAGCCTATGGTTTGCTTCTGCAAGAAACACAAAATGTTCTGATGTAATTGACTATATAAGTTGACTACTCTCTGTTCTCATGGAAAAAAAAAAACAAAACTGTGAAGCCCACATTATATTTAGAACAATCTAGAGCAGCATTACTCCGAAGAAATGAAAACATAAACTGAAGTTAGAAGAAAAGGAAAAAAATAAAAGTAAGTACTACTTTCAATTCAGCTAGTACAGGTACTACCAGAAGTATAAATAAAATTTTAAACCCTTTTCCAATTGCAAAGCATACTTTGGAGATGAGTCGTGAACCTATTTTGCTCCTTAAAATTGTGAAATAATCTAAAATTAGCAAATGTAATTAAAAAACCAGAAATCTACAACTATCCAGTCCTGTTTTCATTTCTTATTTAGCAAATTTCTTTCATGAAAAAGTACTATGGACAGAAAGTAAGAAAAGTGATTGTGATATCAACCTGAAGATAATTTCCTCTTCATATTTATGTACATAATGCTGAAAAATAAAATAAAATGACTTTTTTTACAGTATTTATATTTGCTTATAAAATTCTAAACACATTTTTAACAGGTTAAGCGGTGTGTTTTTTTTTAATGTGTCTGTACAGTCTGGCTATACACCATATGTTATCCACTTAAAATTTAAAAATAATCAAAAAGCTGTTAAAGTGCTGAAAACTATTGCTTAATGACTGAAATAAATGAGATCTGTTGAACAATTCCTTGACTTTACCACTGACATATGGTTTCTCATAAATGAGATTCTGAGCAGTGAGAGAAACCAGATACAGCAGCATGGTAATATAAACATGCATTGATAGCATCCAAACTACCTATAAATGGTACAGAATACATTATATTACCTGTGTAAAGCTTGCACTCTACATTTCTTGTGGTACATATTTGATGCAATAAATACTGTGCTTAGATCATTATTTGTTTGCTCAAACGTGCACCACAGGGTAAAATGACTATTTACATAATAAATAGCATTTCATTAACATACACAGTGTCAACCTTGCTGAGAGCTGAAGATGGCTAAACAAAGTGCAGGATAAAGCAGAAATTTATAAAGAGTTATTTTAATCAATTCAGTATTCTGGGGGTGGACGGTGAGGGGCAATATTCACTATTCAGTTTTTTTTTTTAACATGACAAAAACAAAACCCATAAAATTTGTGACTCCAGACATTTGGATGACGTTTTCACCTACTAAAATTTACTGGCCTACCCACAAACAATCTACCTGGTCTAGGGGCTAGATTTTGCAAAACAAGATCAGCAAAGCACCTCCACTTATCACCCAATTACCTCTCCCAGAAATATGGTGAAATTTAAGAACTCGTTTTTCTTGTGACTTTTTCTCATGCATGATCTCTAAGTGCAGCATGCCCTCATGCAAACCACGACTTTGTGTAGCTGGGAGGGCCATGTGGTTGCCATACCTCCCAGGTGGCATACCTGTTATAGAGGTCCTTTAGTCTATTTCTCAACAGAAACCTTGTTTACAAAAATAGTCACATATAATAAACACATGGATTAACAAAAAGATGAATCCACTAACAGATTCTGTAAAAATGTGACAAATGTGGCAGTTGAAATGCAAACAGTGGATACAATTACTACACTAAAGTGTTTCATGTTAAACAATCCCAAAATTATACGTTTGTACCCCTTGAAACTGGTCCCTACAGTCTGACTAGCCATTGTGTCTCTTAACTTCAGCAGTGTCAGCTGGTAGTGAGAACAGTAACCTCCTGTCAAGGTCATCTCCCCTTTACACAGTCACAGTTTGCTGACAAGGGGTCACTGTCTTATTGTAGGCACTGACCTTAAGTAGATTTTTGTAAAAACAGTCAGTTTGGCATTGACCTCCTAAAGGAGTCCTGTTGATAAAAATGCATCACCTTCACAGGCTGTAAACAATTTGTCACCCAATTATTTTTATTTGTTTTCATTTATTTCCCTTTGGCTTTTTCATCTTTGCCTTCTTGCTCATGTTTTTCCACGATTGGCTTTGTCACCCGGTCATAGGAGGGTGGACAAGCAGCAGTGGACATGGTCAGATCAGTTTTTTCTGTAATAGAGTTTTCATTTATTCTGTCAATTATCATGTCTTCTTTTATAAGAAGATTAGCCCCACCTTTGATTTTGTTTTTATTGTATGTAAAGGATGCTTGTTTTACAGTTCGCTTTAAAAGGTGGCGCCTGTAAGCACGCTGAATAATAACAGCAGATACTTCCTCTTGTTTTCGTTTTAAAGTAGTAGTGATTGGCTGATAGGAGGCCTTGGAAGGATTGGAAGCCATGAATCGCTCTTCCATCTGTATTCGGAGAGCATCCATCTCTCCACTCTCTCCTAGAACCCGCTTTGTAAAAGCAAATAAGATATCAAGACAGTGAATCCGGTCACCACTTACCATGGGCAAATCCATGGCAATGAGCTGGAGTTTGTTTGGTTGTGGCAGATTAAGAGGAGGTTCAAGTGCAGCTGCAAACTGAGATAATTTTTCAAATTCCATGAACTGGGTCGCATCGGGATCAAACTTCTCCCAAACCTCATAGAACATCTCAAAGTCATCCTCACTCAGGGGCTCTGCACTTTCTTCAGTAGCAACACTGAAGTTCTCCAGGATGACTGCGATATACATGTTCACCACAACTAGGAAGGATATGATGATGTAACTGACAAAAAAGAAAATTCCAACAGATGGATTTCCACAGTCTCCCTTAACCGAGCTTCCAGGGTTAGCTTTATTAGGGTCACAGTCCGGTGGTTTGCTGTTGAGAATAGGGGCTAGCAATCCATCCCAGCCAGCAGAGGTTGTAATTTGGAACAAGCAGATCATGCTGTTGCCAAAGGTCTCAAAGTTGAACATGTCATCGATTCCAACTTCCCTCTTAACATAGGCAAAGTTGGACATTCCAAAGATGGCGTAGATGAACATGACCAGGAAGAGCAGGAGGCCGATGTTAAACAACGCGGGAAGGGACATCATCAAAGCAAAGAGCAGCGTGCGAATCCCCTTTGCTCCTTTGATCAGACGCAGGATTCGGCCAATCCTGGCAAGACGAATCACTCGGAACAGGGTAGGAGACACAAAATACTTTTCTATCAGCTCGGCAAGAAACATACCTATGAATAAACAATGAGAATACCAACCAATGAAGAAATTATGCATTAAAATAAACATATTTCTTCCAAAGTTCCGAGGTGAAGTTCAGAGTCCTGAACCCAGTTATATTATCTTAAATATGACAGTCATATGATGTATATATAATTGTATATAATATAAATTATAAATAAATCTTAATTTTGAATTCCAGCAATAATTTCAACTTTAAGGATTACAGTACTTTTTTTTTTTTTTTTTATCTTTAAGGGATGTTTATAAACTACTTTTAGTTTACATAAAGTCCCAAGTCAGAATTTAAAAAGAAAATAAGTTAAAAAAGCATGTCTGGCTGAACAGCAGTGGCCTAACAGTATAAGTACAAGTTTATACGTATACGGTGACTTTTTCTGAAATTGCCATATTCTAAATTCTCTATTTACTCTTTTTCCATCTGAAAGTTTTTGATGCTACTTTCATCTCTCCATGACCTTGATACTTACTTAACTTCCACTCTAATATTTTTATATACTTATTTATGTATGTTCTGGTGCATTTCTAAAAGGATCTCAGGTTGATGCTCTTTTTAGTCTCCTGTAGCTAATGCTGTACCTCAATTGTTTTTGGTTTCCTGTACCTGACACTGTAATCTCAATCTTCCTCTTTTAAGCTTCTATCTCCATTTGCTTTTTAGATAAAAACCGTACTTGTAAAGATAAAGAGAAGAGTTCAAGAAACTAAATGCCTTCAAGTTTAAACGCCTCATTCTGAAAAGACTAAGTGTAAGACAGAGAGTGTGTGTGTGTAACAGAGAGAGAAGGAGATATGTGAGAATACAACTCTTATACCTTAGCCACACTAATTATAACCAAGGATTATAATTAGCGGGAATCAAAGGCTATATACAACATACGAGTTGGATAAAAGGCCAATTTCTTCAGAGAAAGAGTGGCATGAAAATCTGTCAGAGGTACCTTGTTTTGGAGAGTAAAATGTTGACCCAGGTATATCATCCTATTTAGGGAAGAATGAATATTTTAGGCCAACAGAAGGATGCTTTTCACTTTACTAGAGCTTTAGTTGTTTCCAATGAAATGAGTTATCGCTCATGAGGCTAGTCATATGTTCCAGGCTTTGAAGTATAGTACTGATGATGTCCCAAGCCACTTTATTTCCCTTGTGCATTATTATTATAAACCCATTTTTAAGGTTGTCTATAAAATCTCTATATGATACTCATAAAGAACCTACTATATGCATTTGCTAACATTTAGTCCTCATTTTTATTCTCTTTCTACTCAATACTTTTCCTTATCTTGCAGCTGCTTTCAACTAATATTCTAATATGCTGGTAACTCCATGTCTATTCTCTAAAGCAATATTTTTCCTGTACCAGACTAAATTTCTAGTCTTGTTAACAGAACCATCAGATACTGTATGGGTTCTTCAATCTCAACATGTTAAAAACATTTTTATCTTATTTAATTAGCAGTTCTAGTTCAAATGAATGATGTTTTACTACATTCACACTAAGTATATTGTTTATGTATAAAATAGATAGAATAAGAAACAATACTGACATATAGCAGGAGACATTTTGTTAAAAAACCAAACACACCTGGATAAAATATATCAAAATATTTACAATGATTATCTTTGATTGCTGGCATGACCTTGATTCTAATTTTGATTATTTCACTTATATTAAACTAAATTTAACAACTTTAAATGTTTCTTACCTACAATGGAGAGAATGACAACCACAAAATCAAAAATATTCCAACCAATGGTAAAATAATAATGGCGTAGGGAAATGAGTTTCAGTACACACTCTCCAGTAAACAGCACAATGAACACTAGATTGATTCGTGACAAAATGGTAGTCACATATTCACTCTGGTCATCTGTTTCCACCATCATTGTGACCATGTTAAGACAGATGAGAATCATGATGCTTATGTCAAAAACTTGTCTGGTTACAAAGTCAAAGACCATTCCTTGAAATTTGTTCTGTAAAGAAACAGAAATGTTTTTAGCA